TTAAGATAATACATATGAGCATTAATCAGAGGACTATTAGAATAATTTGTCTACATAATTAAATATTGATCGAAAAAGTTAAAGTGGAAATATGAATGAAGAATAAGAGTTTGCGTTTCTTAAGTCGGGCTCACCAATGTAGAATTATGGTCTACTATGATATTAGCACTGCTCTAATAATAGACCTAATCCTAAAATTGTAGATTTATCATGGTGTAACTGCCTAATCTATAAGATTTAGGTAGAAGTTACATCATCGTCTACACCGATTCATTGCATTGTAACAATTACCAATACGTGATAGAGAACAAGCTTAGGCTAGAGATAGAATATATTTAATATGAATAGAAGATACAAGATAACATTCGGCTGGCACCATGCCTGCTAGGCTGAGCCATGCCATCCGATCAACTCGGACTAATTCAATTTATTGTCCCCGCCTTCTCCATTCTTCTGTATTCCTCCGCGTTAAATGTTTAATGTCTCTTTCTCATATTGTCTCATGATAAGGCCCAATGCTACTACAAACCTGTAACAACTGCAGCAAAGTCATCCATTCTGCTCTTTGCACATGACACCAAGATTTGGAAACCCATACGCATTATATTAGATACAATAACCATACGAACCGAAACTAAGTTCTCTGTTTGAATAAATGTAAAGATGGCCTTTTGAAGTTAATCCTAGTGAGAATATAACGATGGTAATAAATAATCTTGGCAATCCATATTATTTCCCGTTAAGTTGAGTTGTGTTACAGCGAGTAGTAGACTATAAAGAACTGGGAGTTATAATAAGTAACGTTCTCAGAACTACGAGCAACTGCAAGGCTGCTGCTGTCAAAGGTTTCAGTTTTTTACGGCTTATTTGTAAGCGACTTCACTGCCTGGTCGAGGAAATTTTGAGAGCATTGAAGAATGCCGCAGGTATTCGGAGTTTGACCACGCTTTAACCAGTAACACCTTCTTATATGAAGCGTACCCACCAAGTGAAATCGAAAGACAGAAGTGAGGAGGTTCGAAGATATATTTGATAGGCTATCAATATATCGAGGATCGTTCTATCTAATCTGTCTAGCGATTGCAGTAGATGTTGAGCCCGGCGGATACATGACCGAGAACATTTATCTAGATGAGTTCATTAAAACTAATGTGGTCAGAATCCAATGTCGAAAACTTACAGAGCTGTTTATTCTGGGGATTCATTTACCGCTACAGCATTATAATCGACTTTTATGAGACGGTATTTGAAATAAGGGAATCAAGCAGCCAGTCCTTTTTTCAATTATGTAGCAGATATGCTTGAGGGAGTCCAACGGCAAAGAACCAACATAATAAAACGCTCTCTGTTCTATATTATGAATACAAACTAAGGTACCTAAACTTATTTCTCTTAGTTTACACAGGTTACGAGGAGATTTAATACTGGTTTACCCTAGTCGTGGCATTAATATAACGTATCTTTCGAATTCGTCTAGGACTGATTATCTAAAAGACTTTTTGAAACGCTGCAGAAACCGAGATACCAGAATATGTAAATTCAGCATCTTTTGTTGGTATAAACAAAGCATGGTTCGATCATCACATTATCGCAAATCGCAAGCATCAACATAGTTCCATTGACATCTTACCCTTCCTGATGAAGACTGAGGTCATCGTAAGACGAATGAGATTAGATTCCTTCATTATTTACAAACATAACAGGTTTAATAATTTTAGAGACTCGAAGTAAAGCTGATTCGGATAAAACAAAGCTTTTTGTTCATCGTAGTGTCCAGTTTTTGGAACGATTTTTGTCCTCAGGAAGTGCTCGAGGTGTTTGAATCATTCAAGTTTCAGTTTGTTGTAGACACAGTTTCAGTTGGCGAGAAATGGCGGCAGTTCAAGAGGAGGTAGAGGCTGATTTAGCTCCATCAAGAAAATCGACCGACGCGTGCCGAAAAGACTTGGAATCTATAAATAATCAGGTTTGTTCTATTTTAAAGTAAGATAAAGGTTTAGTTGGAAGCTTCTATCAGGGATATTGAGAGGTCCTTGGTCTCAATGGAGGAAAGATTTGCATCCAGTAATATCCTTTTTTAAAAGCTTTCGTTTCATTTTTCTAATAATTGACATCAGTTAGAGACAATCAGTTCAAGTAACGTCATCAAGTTATGACTTCTATTATAAACTGAATGGTTGTGAAAATACGAGATACAATTAGTCTATAGCTAAACCATTGTAATATAATTTCATACGCAAGTATTATTCAGGTTCAATTTACCTACTTCCAGCTCCTCGCTCAGTTTTTTTAAATGTTAATAGGCTTTTCTGTTATTTAGATCAACGTGCTGTTCATGTATACTAAGCTTATTCATTATTACAAGTAAAAATAGGATTTGTGCTTGGGGATGAACGTCAACTACGGCTTTATTACGATCGTTGTTTCTAATTAGTTTTCCTAAATATATATCCCAATTAAGTTGAAAATAGAGAAGTAAAGGGAGCGCTAGTCAAGAAACAACCTTCGAAATGAAGGAAAAACATTCCAAAATGTCTTTTGTTTGCGTGTTAACGTTGCCAGTTATTTATGGACACTCAGAAGTTACTGAATCAATAGTCAAGCGTCACCTAATTTGTCCGCAGTTCCATAAGGTTTTCATTTCTTATTTGAGTTTATATTCTAGATTTGATACTTCTGAATATTGGTGTATTTGTTATATTCCGAATGTCGACCAAGTTTTGTTTGTATGGTGTACAGTAACCAAAGCCGGAAAAAGTCAAATTCTTTTTGTTAGCATAGTACGCTGCACGAATGTTCCTGCAAACATCCAACTTATATAAAGGCTAATTGCGGGTCCGTACAAGTGCAGTACTGATCTTTCTTTAATTTTTAGCAACAAAGAAGCAGATTATATCAAATTTGACTATTTTTTTTTAAACTCATCATTGTCTGTACAGTTGGTGGATCTATAGAATTCGATAAGAATCCAATTTACTGATTGGTATCTGTTTTGACACACATTTTTCTGCAACTCCTGTGACTATTTTTCTTAGATGATATTTACTTGCTGAGATGGACAATGATCTAGAAAAACTTGAAGCTGATATTTCGAAGTTGATTAAATCTTCTGACATTCAGGCAGTTGATTGACATTATTGCTATGTACTGTGCAAATATGATAGTTGAATAAATATAAATACTCCCATTTTTTTCACAAAATGTATCTTGAAAAACCTAGTTTCGAAGTTTTTTGAGAATGTATTTAAAAAAATATGGTCGGTTTTGAATGAAAACAAAAGTACCTTGAAAAACGTTTACCAGAGACATTAGAAAAAATATATGATGGAAATATTTAACAATGTTTGTCACTACTATTTGGCCAGAAGAGTGATTATATTTGCCGCTTACGGTCATGTCGTGCATGAGGCTTTGAGTTGGAGCTGATCATGTGGTTTGACAACAAATAGTGCCATCAAACTTATCTGCGAAGGCGGTAAATGTTTATAGCTATCTCACTGTAATTCAGGTAGTATTTCGCCAACACTTTAAGTACCTAAATTTTATGCTAAGGTAAGAAAATTTCTGTTAATACTGTATCTTTGAAAGCTACACACGTTGCAAAGTCTAGACCTTGTTCGCTTTCTTCATATCTGTAGACTATAGGAACAACTCTCGTGTCTTGAAATATAAGACGCAGGTTTCTCATTTTATTGTTGTTATATAAGCTTACAAACTATTTGTATCTTGTTTAAGATGTTGGTTTACATTATATAGCTTGTAAATCTATTTAGGTTAAACAATTGTTTTTACTACTGCAACCAAACATTGTTCGCGTCACGATTGTTCCTAAGACAACAACATAGGTATACTTAATTTACTGATCAACTAACAATCGAAGATCGTAGCATCTTTTGAAATGTTTGACAGTTTTTTCAATAATATATGTTAAGATTTCTTTCTAGTTGACTACTAAGCGTGACCTAGGCTGCTAAAATCCTTAAGAGAGGATAGAAAAGAAGAGTACTGCATCCGCGTAACTAACAAATAGAGCAAAAGATCGTCACATTCAAATCTTGTTTGCATATATTGATTCGGCATACAAGAAACGGGCTGCATGTTTTGTGTGAATCTTGTGAGAAGAGTAGATACTTTAATATGATGGTTACTGTCGGTAAATTTATGTCCTATTTAATGCCATAAATATGCATTTTCCTAGTGCGTTCCAACAAAACGGAAGACGGGGAAGGCTTAGTGTGTCGAGTAGTAGCATCAATCAGTGTCATAAAACTTTCAGAATCGTCATGTAGCTGGCAGAAGTCGTTACTATTGACGTGCTCTGTAGTTCATTCGGTTTGATGGTCTCCACGTCTGGTATTTCTGCAGTTTTAATCGTTTCATCGAGTCCAACTGAATTCATTGCTTATTCGCTTATGTAAAGTGGGTTTGTTTGAGCATGTAATTTTATGACCCTATCAAACCTTAGTTGATATATTGAGGTTAATACTCAGTAATTTAGTGAAGACCTAACGAGAGTAATATTAATACATTTATCGTGCATTTTCCTCACACTTAAAATCAAAGAATCAAGTGTATGTTCTAACAAGAAGTTTGTCATGTCTGCCTCATATTTCAGAGACTGGAATACGATTTTGGGACAGTTGTCTTTGAATCCTGCCAAATAAATACTGTATTCTTGTAGTATTAGATCGGATTTCAACTCAATTTTGATATATATGCTTCCATATCTCACAAAAACTAATACCAAAGGTCTCAGTATAACTAGCGGTTATCAGCTTGATGGTTTTTCATTCCGTGTGACTTCACTGTTAAGTGTGTTGACTAAAGTGGCGTTAAATATATATAGAATTTCCTGGTGTTTCTTAATCGTATCTGGAAAGTACTTCATATTCATGGAATACGATCATAGTAACTGAAAACTTTTACATTTAATTCTACTGAAAATTGCCAACCCAAGTCTTACGTTCTTAGCTATTACAAAAATAAATATTGTCTTCATATTCGATTGTGTTAAACTTATGATTTTTGAAATCTACCAATGATAAGATTTTTGTTGTGAGCATTAATTTTTTACAAAAGAAAAAATTATAAAGATACGTAGTAAGTTTAAAAAGTTCAGTACAATATACTGTTATGAATCACCAATCAGTTCATCGATCTCATCCCAATCAATAAAGCTGGTGCTTGGAACGCCACCTATTTCAGTAAGGAGATCAGTTTCTGGTAAGGATTGTGGACTTTGTGGAATTTGTGACTCCTAATAAAATAAAGTCAAAATACGGGATTTATCTTTGGTGGCAGTAGTATAGTTTGAATTTGCTAATAGTTTGAAAGCGAATTCCTCCATCTATTTGTGGAACTATAGACGAGTACAGTGTACGAGTGATTTTCACGCTAGAGCTTTGGTTTTTACTGGAAATAAACATCCGCCTTGTTTTGTCATTTCTATGTAAAATAAGAGTACTATATGAAGTGAATTACGCAATTCGATAACAAACATCACATTAAACTGTGAGGAATTTTATTTGTTGTAAGAATAAAGTTTTGCAGCCGTGTAAAATATAATACTACCGGTCATATTGCGGGATACAAAGCTATTGCTCATATTTAAATCAATACTTTATATTTTCTTCAATGTAAACAATTACATCATATCATCTATATATTTATATATGCTTTCCTTCCTGACCTCGTCATTTACCCCTATTAACCAGTCATTTGTGAGGTTTTATTCAACTGAAATACCAAGGTCATCGAAAGACTGGTAAATCAAAGGGTTTTACTGCATACAAATCATTTTCGGTACTTACGAAGAGCACCCTAGCAACAGTTACATCATTTGGTTAAAAAGTTTGAAGATACCTCCAAAGATGAGTTGTCCAGCTTTTCAGACGTTAATCAGAAAACATGGCTTCAGATGTAATAAAAGTTTAGCTTATTCCATTGGCGTTGCTACTTTATTGCAAAAAGCTAGCTAATGGAGCGATATTGCGAGCCTATTGTGTCAGAACTTTACTTCATACGTTCCACGGTGATGATTATTACAGCACTTCTATTATCATCACATTTATTATCGTTCCAATGATAATGTAATAGTATTGTGCTCAATTTGCACGTATGCGTGATCCACTTCCATCCTAAAAAGTAGCTTCATACCTATATCAATGTACTATACTATCTGCTTTAGCTTACATATTCCAACTAGAAACCTAGTTAGTATTCTACGAAATAGAAACTGAAAATTTAGTTGACTGTAACGATATGCTACATAGTTTATTTAAACTAACCTGATCAAAATTAGAAATTCCACTGGCACTTTGTAGCCTAGATGAACTGCAAAATCTGTCTTCTTCATCTCCATAGAGTATTCTCTTCACATCACTTTCTAGTGACCAATCGCTTAAAATTGTTGTCTGTAAGTCATCTTCATAAGTTGGGTGTTTTTGTGTATCAGGATTTGGATGATTTAGTACAGATGGCTTTTGTACAACTGTATTTAAAAGAAGAAAGAAAGATAAAGCTAAGCAAACAATATTGTTCCATACTGTGGTCATCTAATGGAGAAAGTTCGTGCTTGATTTCTGCTATAAGCGACTAAATACTAGTAAGCAGATGGTGATCAATATATTACTCAGTGGTTGGAGTACTGACATCGGATAAACCACAGAGAGATTTTAGTTTACTAAAATCCATTAATTAGACCACAGTGAGAGTACCACAGCCTTACAAAAAGTAGACAGAAATCAAGAATAAAGTGGTTGGACAGTAAGTCAATGCATTTGGATTACAAATAGTCGTTTTGTGCAGCAAAATATATTAACTAAATTATTAAACATAAAACAATGTAGAGATATACGAATATTCGTCAAGATTAGAACTAATAGTTTGACAGAAATTGGGCGCCGAGGATAGAGAAGTCATTATATATGAAAATTATATTTGAAATAATCTCAGCAATTGGAATTTAAATCATTCCAATCGCTGAGATTATTTCAAATATAATTTTCATATATAATGACAATGTAGAGATAGTTTTGTGTGCCTAACGACATAACAATGACATTACTACTTGACTCAATTGACATTTAAATTAGCTTATCGAAAGTAGTCAGATGGACATTTTTGTTCAATCCATTGTTCATCATGTTACCAGGGTTGTAACCACCTTTTTCATTTATTTATGGTTATTGATAAGCATTTACATTTTTATACTTTCAAACATTACTCTATTTTATTTGTTTGAGTCCATTACAATTTAGGATAGGGGTAGAAAAACATTTTTTTACTAAAGAAAAAAATAAACTCAGAATCCAGTAGTTAGTAAAGCTCACCATTTATTAGTGAAATCAATAATTATTAGTCAGTGTTAACCATATGTTTTTATCCATTAAACTGGATTTCGGTCTATTAGTTGGGGTATGAGTTCGGACTTATTGAATTGTATATATTATAAAGATGTGGTAAATTATGCTTGATACTTGTAGCGTTTATTCAGGATGGAGGAAACCTGCGGTTTTGTTGACCCGATCTGTATATGATGGCTCGTTTCATTAATAGTAAGACAATATAGATCAGTCAGCAACTTACACGAACCAGAACTCTTGAATCCCAGGAACATTGTGAGAACTCACATTTGAGTATTGAGACCTGTTAGTTTGTTGTTATGGTCAACAACGTCAGTTTCCACAAACATCAAATCAGTTCGTCGGTGACCTTGTTTACGATTGTTTGTCGTTCTAAGCTTTATTGTCTCCATTTATCTGTGTACTTAAGTTTACTGTCTTGTTCAGCTGAAATCTCGCCATGTAGCCGACTAAGCCTTTTCGTATGGGTTAAGAGATCGGGTTGAGTTCATGCAAGAGGCGTCTACTTTGCCAACTGTTGTTTTTCGCAGTTGATGTAATTAAATTTGCAGACGACGTATTTGTCTCCGTCGTTGTATTTTATGGTTTACATAAAATGGGATTAAACAATTACGGTACCCTATGAAAGACATAGTTTACAAAAGATTTCGAAATTCTTGCAGTGATTTCTAAAAGGTTTCTCACATATGTGAAGATTGTATTTATTTAGCGCTTGTGGAATGGCTGAGAAGCTCACTTTTACATACAGTGAGTGCTGGTGTTGTTCAGAATTAGGTGAAGGGTTTACAGTTAGTCGTCTTACTCAAAGGATTCAGTTATATAACGGAGGGTGACGTTTGACGATAATTGTGCAATAAATATTAATGTGTGATGTAAACTGTCCTAATAATTGCAGTAGATTGTTTCCCCTCATCTTTCGTAGTTATCAAATTTCCATATATTCGTTGTTGATTCTTATTTCTATAAGCAGTGCTTAATAACTGGTAAAAGAATAAGAAAATGTCTGTAGAATAGAGGTAATAACCAAAATGTAGTGAATATTACTTAAAATGTAATCTCAGCGGTGTATCGATGTGCTTATAATTTGTAACAGTGATGAATAATTTTAAAAAGTGAACATAATTAATGAGTTTACTCTTTGTTTGTTGTCTTCTGGTTCCTGAGATGTTACGCGCTCCTCTAGCTGTAACTCCACTTCTTCCATTATAATGAAAGCGGACAGAAGTAGGCGGCTTTGGACTGGACGGGATAATGTAATTGTTTGTAAAATTACGTTGATTTAAAACTCTTGATGTACCACGACTGCGAGTTTGACTTCGACCTCTTTTTATCTACAAAGTAAATGCGAACTTGAAGAAGGAAGGTAATACCCATGCTAGCGAGACAACATTTTCAATATAGAAACGTTAGATAAATCATATGGATATGTTTATCGACTGACGTATCGGTACAATGAGTTTTGCCTAGTATGATGAAGTTTAGAAGACTTTCCACTATCCATTTCTTAAGTGTATGGTTTTCCATCAATTTATGTGATTTCGCCATCATGTTTATCATAACTAACTTGATATTCCTTTTTTTAAAAAAATTAATTTACATAATTCTACTATGTTGACTGTTACATATCAACTTAAAGTGAGCTTCCCTCCTCTTTGAATAACATTTCGACTTTAAAAGTGACATATTTTTTATTTATCGAGGTCATAATGTGAAAGTATAACGTAGTTTGTACTTAGTAATATATATCAATCTAGACATTTTGTTGTATAATTTCTTAAACAGCTTACTAGAATTAAAATTAGACTCACTGTTTTACACAAAATTTTAAGTGTATTAACCTTGCAATATTTTACACTTACTGGAGTATTTGAAAGTTTTGGAATGACTGATTGATCTAACCTTGGTGATGACTGTTTTGGTAAAATACTATCCGACAAAATCTACAAATGAAATAACAACAAAATCCGAAGATTGACGGCATTCAGATAAAAATAAGTATGTCAGGAGATGATGAAGTATATATAATTAAATACCTGGAACCTAACATTGAATAGTAAGATGTGTAAACTTAATTTTGATATTAAGTTTATCTCCTATTGTAACTGTTATGATACTGTTCACTCCAATAATGATAATACCACAAATTCAGCTAGCATATGGATTTTGAATTATCTTTCGTTCGCCTTAGAACAGCCGTCAGGACGCGAATGTACCAATACGATTCATTCCTGTATATCAGAAACAGAATGATTTAAACCTTTGCAGTTGATAATCCAAACATCAGTAGTTCGATGGATAACAAGCTAGTGTTTGAGGTACGATGTCTGAATCTTAATGTAGTCACCAACACTGGGTTTCATGAATGTCAAGCTGATGAGTCTGGAAGAGGACTAAAGACACGTCCTGTATTTCATTGCTAATAACAACAAATCGTTTCTAAAATACATGCTTTACAAATATTCAGAATAACGTCAATGTCACACAACAATTAGGAATACAATATTATTTAAACAAATAGTGATGTTCATTAACGAACATTTAAGACTCACTTCATTGACAAACTGTCTAGCTTCATTACAACGACGTGTCATTGAAACTTCTCGTCTTTCTTTTCTAAGTTTTTCACGTTCATCAGTATTATAACCAGTGTTTGAATGTGATCTTTCATTTGGTTTAGGCGATTTAACTTGTTGTTTTACAATCGTACAATCATTTTGTTGACTTCGGACATCAAGATTAATTTTACTTTCAATTAGTTTTCTAGAAAAATATAAGTCATATTTAAATGCAAAAATAAATACAAAATAAAAGTTAAAAATCTCTATACCATAATTTGAGAAGTAAACTAAGTATTAGTATACGGTTGTGGAGATTGTTGAGCTTTTATTGAGATTAATGTTAGACCATCATTGAAAACTCGGAAGCACTGGATGGCGGTCTCATCCTGGTATGCGACTCTTCAGCAATGCTCAACCACGATCCCGTACGCGGAACTCTAAACCAGGACCTTCGGCCTCACGCAGGAACGCTTAATCTCTAGACCAATGAGTCGGCATCCAATGATGTTAATAACTAACTTCAATCAATACACGATTTTGTGTAACCATTTTTCAATGGTGATCCAATAGTGATGTGTCCAAGATCTCAATAAATAAACAAATCTCGAATGAAAAATACATTCCAATAGTTTTTAAATAAACACAACATAATATTATGGATTATTTAAACTGAAAAATGTTAATCATCTGAATTAAGTTTGCCTGGTCTAACTTCAGAGAGATTCGGTGTTATTTATGATTAGATTACAAAATAGGATTAAACATCTGATGTCTATCCAGTTCAATTATAGAGTAGAGCATAAGTAATAACATTTTCACTATTAATTTCTAGCTTCAATATAACTGTTCAACCTTATTCATTTATCAAGAATGAGTCTTTATTAAGTAGTTAAATCTATTGAGTCGGTAAGAATTTAAAATACGAAAAAAGCTTACTGATTATGTAATTGATCGGCTTTGAAATTTAATTCATCAGGTAACTGTACTTTTTGTTGTTGAGAAGTTGCCTCACTTTTGTTTGGTTCATCTAACTGAAAAAATGGATTAACTTGGCTTTGTTCTTTATTCATTTGAATAATTGTTTCAAGAAGCTGTATTACGTAGTGCATTCGAAAAATAAGAAATTGGTTTTGATTTCAATATTCAATTATGATAATTTAGTGATAAATTAAGTAGTTTGTGGAGAAACTGTATAAATTGAATGGATACTTTATTACAGGCTGTCAATAACTAAAAAACTACTAAAAATCGACACAATGACTCATTTTGAGACATATAAGCTAAGGTCTCTCACAATTGATGGTGATTAATGCAAGGAATTTAATCAGGCAGTTTGTACATATCCCATTTTTTTAGTTAATGAGTTGACCAGTCGATCATATATTTTGTTTGTTACCATCATCCTTTTTCAAAACTCCTTCACTAAACATTTTTGTACTTCAGAATAGGCAATTGTTGGTCAAGTGAAATATGCATTTAAATATCTTGAGACCATAACAAAATAGATCTTCCAAAATTGGTTACTATACTGTTCTTAAACAGCAGTGATTGATGAAATAGCCATTTGGAGGTCAACAATGTTTAGATTGATAGCACATCAAGGTAGATTGTAACAATTAATGAAGATCATATTGTGGTTATTTCAGTTTTTAGTCATTACATTTTATAAATAGAAGTCGAAAGAAACAAATTATTTCTACTAGTATTACTTCTAATAATTAACAGTCAATAAATAATTGATTTGAATATACTCAATTACGTTATAAAACATTTTATTCAGTAAAGGAATCCTATTCAACAAGTTCATTTTCAAAGCTGTAAGATGGTACATATATTTATGACAAATTATAGGTCACTGAATAATTTCATTATTCATTTCTATTGGTTGTTTGTCATCTGGTGAATTCATATTTCTAGTAAGATTGCAATGATTTTGTTCATAAATATGTACTAATGTGTAATGGAACACATAGTACAATATACTTATCTTCATTAAAAGTCTGTTAGAACTTGATTAAGATCATGGACCGATAGATATTAGACCACCATCGAAAACCTAGAAGCACTGGACGGCCGTTTCGCTTTATTATGGGACTTCTCAGCAGTGCGCATCCACGATCACGCTTGTGGGATTCAAACCCAAGGCCTTCAGTCTCGGTCTAACATCAATCGGTTCATGATCTCAATCAAAAACTTAATGATCTCCACAACTTCTATACTGAGAATTTGATTGGTTTGTTATGTGAAATTCAATTACATCACTTTAAACAAACAAATAGTTATTAATGGAGGAAATTAATGAAACATGAGAAACATATAATCAATAGGATGAAAAGTTTAAATGTAAATATCATAAAGTTGAAATGAAAATGAAGACATCGTGATCAAAATTAAAAAGGGGAAAAAGAACAATAAAATAAAACTGTAAACTTGGATAGAGATCGAACAGATTATTTTTGTTCAGATTTTAAATTATAGATATCCAAATCTTCTGAAATGTAAGGTAGATTAAGACGTATACTCCTTAGTATATTTAACTAGGTTTGTTTTTAAAAATGTTGAACGATGAATCGTAGGCTGAATGTCATGTGTCTATTACATGCGGCAGATTCTATGATGTAATTAATTAATTTCGATCTCTACTAACCACGTTGATCAACACTTTACGTGCAATAATTAGTTTAGAAAATTATTTATTAGCATAAATATTTTTAAGGAGTTTTAATATATTTATCACGATTTCGATCTTCCTCAGTGGCACAATAGAATCATAAGTCACAAAGCATTAGTAAATAATGAACATTTAAAAAATCTTAAAATTTTTGACAAAAGTATAGAAAGGTTGAGTAAAAGCTGATTAAAAACGGCAAACCACCCCGGAAACGATTAAGAGTACGCTACATGTTAACATGGAGATTTTTAAGAGATAACATGCGAACATAATAAAACACCGATCACAGGCGGTAACTTCAACTGACATATTTTGTACCATATTTACCGAAGACCAGCTGGTAAGTCAAAAATTTACATTGAAAAGAAACAGTCAAAAATAAGAAGTATGCTTACAGTAGTGGAAATTACGTCATTTTATCCTGTCACATAAATTTAGGTAACTGAAATAAATTTCAAGAGTTATCAATGCAATGAAGTTAGTGTGACCCTATAGTAAGTAGTTGATACATCGAGTAGCTTCATTCCAACTTCCTAAATTTAACTATCGTTTCTGAAGTATTAATATATTTTAAGTGTGCCAATAGTCTAAGATTTTTGCACCAGAAAACCATGGTTGTGGTCAGACTTTTCGATTGTCAAAATCAAATTATCTTTTAAAATAGACAAAATGATGCGAGTAGAGAAAACCGGTTACTGAGATATATGAGGTGGCAAATGTTGGAAGTATTGTTCATATATATGGCAGGTGACCAACATTAGTAACAGTAGACATCTACTACCTCAGATAACATCCATTTATAAATTCATAGAAGAAGGTATGTGAAAGACATTAATCTATAGACACTCAGTCGACTGTGACAAAACTCAAATATACTAATACAAGCTACAATACACATTTTTAAACCTATTGCAAATAAATTAAATACTTACTTCTTGATTACGTTTATGATCACGTTCTAATTGAACTGAAACTTGGTCAATCACGTTTAAACGATTATCAATTTCACTTAATGCTTTTACTACATCTAAAGGAAAATAACTTGATACTTGTTTATTACATGATAATAATGATGTGATTTCATTATTTATTGATTGTTTATTGACTTGATTTATTGTATTGGAATTTTGCAACATTTTTGAAGTAACTAAATCACTGATTAATAATTCTGGTTTATTTTCAGACGAATTGTTTGTTGTCATTTTTGTCGTTGTTGTTGTTACAGTTTTTGTTTGTGATTTTGTTATTAACGACGTTTGATTATGTACAATATTTGATGGACTAATTGTATTATTCATTTCTATTGGTTGTTTGTTATCTGGTGAATTTACATTTGTAATAAGATTACAATGATTTTGTTCATAAATATTAGATGTATTAATATGTAATGGAACATATGGTACAATACATTTATCTTCATTATTCCAATCTATCAGGTCAGATGTATGTATACTTAGAAATTGTTTAGTAACATGCTAATTGAGAATAAAGGTAATATGAATAAGTGAATAAGAGTAAGGAATAATTCAAGAACGTAACAAATATTAGGGTAAATTATTGATGTTTGGAATGAAATAATTTGGTTTGCTTTTCATTATAAAAAACTGTTTTTATTTGAGAAAAGGAAATCGTGAAAATTAAGATGAAGAAAATATTCAAATTCACTTTGTTTTGTCCTTCATAATGAGGTTTGTTTAACAAATACGTATTCAGATCAACTAGTATTATTTAGACACATAAACATTGGTACAAACGGATACCGAATATATATGCACCACACAAGTCACTTGATTTGTGTGGGCTGTGATACTGTCCGGGTGCCCAGACGGAAGCAGGGGGTCTTCTTGAGGGGCCACACCCAGAAACTTCGGCCTAAAGATCTGATCGACAAGATAATGAAGAAACGTTCAGAGATGCAGTCCAATCATAGCCGGTGACCAACAATTGGTTAATACTCCGTTAGTTACTTCAAGACCCTGGAGCCATTTGCACCATTGGTTTAGAATCAGGGATCTTCAACCCCCCTAAGTGGACACTACGTGTCCACCAACCCGGGTAAATCGTCTGACATTCGGTTTTCGTTTGCTTAATTTCGTAAACAACGCCTCTATCGCGAGGAGGTAGTGAGTAGGATTTGACTGGTATTGGCTGTATACCCGTAGTCATGTGAGACCATTTCGAGAAAGAGAACGAATTGTCCCCATCCTCGGCCGTACCAGGGCATTTGGGGGGCAAGATTAACTAGAATGTTGATTGGAAAACATTTGACAATTTCAAAATATAAGCCATTTCTTAGTATATCAGTTGTAATTCCTTCACTGTATCTAATTCTCTTTTCAGTTTTCCAAAAATATTTATTTACATAGCAAAGGGATTGTAAGATAACCGTAAAATTTCAAAGTAATACATTTCTACGCACTTTCCATTGATTTTTTAAGGAGACTGAATACAGAAATAAATTATTTTACGGTGAGCGAAGGCAATGAATTATATGAACGTTTGTGACTTTTATTTTCATCTTTGATCGATTATTGATTGTGTAATCAGTAAATTAGTCGTAGTATTTTTGGTTGAATATGCTATAAATGAAGATAGATTTAATTCTCCAATATAATACTTATCAACGCAGAAGATAAAAACTGACCCCGGAAATAGAATGTATTGCCCACTTATTTATATATTATTTATTTGAATACAAAAATATTGGTACAATAGGGCACCAAATATATATGCACCACACAAAACAATGAGAATTTAAAGAGAAGGGAAAAAAAATAAATCGGGGTAAGGAGAGCAAAAAAAGAACAATAACGAATAGATTAGTGTAAGGTAGTGCAATAGTAATAATAATGGGGGAAACGAAAAGGCACAATCAGAAGAAACCTTTCAGTTAAGGAAGATACAACCACTTTGTACGAAGAAAGTAAAAGAAGGTTACAGCAGGATCGCCACTGGATTCTATTCTGAGCCATATGTGATAACATCTCTAGCCACTGTGTTACACCATCTCTCGGACCCCAGCCAGGGAGTCGTGAAGGACCAACAGAAGCTAGCCCTTTGCAGCTTTCTTTCATACCACGATACCATGTCATATACTGACCACCTCTCCGCTCTTTCCAACCAGTCCCAGAGTCGGCAAATAATGCACGACGAGGAATTCTCTGGGACGACATTCGTAGAACATGTCCAAGCCACCGAAGTCGGTGTTTCAAGATAGTGACACCAGTTGGATTGTCATCTCTATGCCCGAACACACGATGTCGAACCTCTGCATTACTAACATGGTGTTGCCACTGAATGTCAGCAATCCTTTCGAGACAACGATGATCGAACACAGAGAGTCGTCTAACATCCTCAGCTTGGAGAGGCCAGGTTTCACAAGCATAGAGCAGTACTGCTCTCACCGTCGCGTTGTAGATCCGACCTTTTACACCCAGACTGACATTACGAAGGCGCCAAAGATGGCCCAGATTGGCATAAGCCGCTCTGGTTTTCACTATACGTGCATTGATCTCATCACTCACACCACCCACCACCATCACTTATGCAGCTACCTAGATACACGAACTTCTCGACTACTTCTATCTGCTCACCATCCAGAGTGAGTACAGGATTAGAATCCTGCCAGTCTTGTAGAAGTACTTTGCACTTTGAATGTGCAAGGCACATACCATACCTACGGACATTGATTGCCAACTGATTAAGTGCGGATTGTATGGCTTAGGCATTCTCGCACTGTGAGACAATATCATCCGCATACTCAAGGTCGAGAAGTCTTTCTCCAGGCAACAGATTCACACCACCATTACTTACATACATCAGAGCTGTTGCCAGAATCTCATTGATGGCAAAGTTGAAGAGGAATGTTGAGATTGGGCAACCCTGCCTAACCCCACTGCTCGAATGGAATAATGGAGAAAGGTGGTTGTATGCCCTCACTCTGACTGAGGTGTTTGTGTATAGGGCCTTTAGGATGTTAATAAACTTCTCAGGCACACCCTTCTTCAATAGACAATCCCAGAGAACAGTCCTGTCCAACGAATCGAAGGCAGCCCTGATATCAAGAAACACTACGATTGTTGGCCTTTCATAAGTATGGCAGTGTTCCAACATTTAGCGGATAGTAGAGATATGATCAATACATCCTCAACCAGAACAAAACCCAGCCTGCTCCTCGCGAATCAATCTTTCTAGGGTTTCGAACAACCTACGAAGTATAACGGAAGCCAATAGCTTGGACGCAATCAGAAGTAGACTTATCCCCCGATAGTTGTTACAGAAACGACGTGAACCCTTTTTAAAGATAGGGACAACTATCGACTCATTCCATGACGTTGGTATACTCTCTAGTTCCCAGACCTTTGTAAACAACACAGTCAGTTCCTTAGCCAGGAAGTCACCACCATCTTTAAAAAGAGCCGGAGGTAAGTCATCTGGGCATGATTATTTGTAGCGTTTCAAGAGTTGGAGTTACTTGCGGACTTCCGCTTCATTTGGTGGATCAGTCTTCACCGGCCATGGAGGGCAGGACAGTCTGACCGATGTTGCCGGAGCAGCAGGCCAGTTGAACTGCTCTTCGAAGAATTCTGCCCATCGTCCAAGACGTCGATGGATGTTAGTGATTGGCATCCCGTCATCCTCGCAGATTGTTTCGCTCACACCAGACTTCTTGCTGCCAGTGGCTCGGATGAGTTGGAAGAGCTTCCGGTAATTACCAGATGCAGCTGCTGCTTCCAGCTCATTAGCACGCTCCGACCACTAGGCCTCTCGGTCCTTACGCAAGCTTTGCCCAATTTCAATACGTAACATCCTTCGTTTATGGTCGAACGCATGGTCACCTGCAGTAGATCGACAGGCTTCAATGGGTTGTAAGTAGCATGAAGAAACCCAGTGCTTGTAAGCGGGACGTTTCGTGAACCCACAACTGACTGTACCCGCCATTTTCATGGTGTCATGCAATTGCAACCAATGCTCATCTATACTTTTCGGTGGAATCGTAGCTAGCCTAGAAGCTAGCTCGGTTCGGTACTTACTAGCAACATAAATTGCAACCAACTTGCTAACATCAATCCTTTGGTGGTGGTCACTTCGATGGCCACTGAAAAGTAAGGTAAGATTGGCGCAGACCAGGACATGATCAGATTCCAGATAGGTACTCGAAAAAGAGCGGCAGTCTTGTACACAACCACGCCAGCGATAGCTGATCGCGATGTGATCAATCTGAGTCCAGGCTTGACATATTGAGGAAGGATGCCAGGTGGCACATCGGCGATGACTGTGCCGAAAGTTAGTGCTAACCAGAAACAGGTTGTGGTCTGTGCACAGTTGCAGTAGACGGTCCCCGTTAACTGTCCTGCGACCAACAAGTCCCCATCGGCCACCTAAACGACTCTCTTCTGTGCCTAGACGCCCGACCTGAGCATTCAAGTCTCCGGCTAGTGCTACAATATCTGTCGAACGCACTTTCTGGAGAAGAACAGTTAACTGGTGGTAGAATTCATCCTTGATTGCATCCGCGCTGCAATCTGTCGGAGCATAGGTGCAGGTGACGAAAAGACATCGTTTCTCACGCCGATTTCTTCCACTTTGATGGAACTTTCTAATCTAACAGCACATAACCGACTGTTAATGGGGATCCAGTCGACTAGTGCTGCCTCAGCTCTAGCGCTTAGTGCGACAACAACGCCAGCAAGACCAGACGAAGACGCCACAGGGTCTCCGAATAAACGCACGTAAAACAAGCTTTTTGAAGCGACAGATGGAAAGCGAACTTGTAGTACTTCACCAGAGTGTCGAATACGGGTCTCGGATAGACAACAAACGTCAATATTAAGACTTTCCAAAAACATAGCCAGCCCTATCTGTTTCCCGACCTGCATAAGTGTGTGAACGTTGAAGGCAGCCAGTTTGAATGGTGCACGTGGTTTCAGATAAACTGCTTCAGTACTCGTATTCGGTGGTAACAAACAATTTTCAACCAGGCAGTGACTCGAGAACGTTTAGATAGAACCGAATTTCCACCATAGGCGAGCTGCTGTATACGTCGAAAAATAAGGATACATAAAGTGGGAATAAGAGAGAGTGAATAAATGACGAAGTCAATAATAATAATAATAATAATAATAATAATAATAATAATAATAATAATAGTGATAATGTGAATCATTCGATTGTTAATTGGAGCGAGAAAATATCTTCCATAAATGTCAACATTTCATCATGTTTGTGTGTGGGCTGTGATACTGCTCGGGTGCCCTGACTGAAGCAGGTCGTTTTCTTAGAGGGGCGCCTTTGACCTAAAGATCTGATCCACAAGGCAGTGGAGCATCGTGAGGAGATGCAGTCCCATGGTAGCCGGTGACCAACGATTGGTTCATACACCATTTGTTCCCGCAGGATACTGGAGCCCATGTGCACCATTGGTTTGGAATCCGGTCAAAGCACCGGACATTTGCTTTTTGTCCTCTCATTTTTGTAAACAACACCCCCGACACGAGAAAGCAGTGGGGACTTCCTCGGCAGAGGTTGTATACGCGTGGCCATGTGAGAGTATTTAGAGAGGGAGGGCGAGCCCACCCCTCTCAGCCATACTAGGGCATTTGGGAGCCATAAAATAATAACAGAAATATATCTAATTCGTTAAATGACGTATCATATCAAAGATCAGATATTATATCCTCATGTCTATAAAATCTTAGATGAAGAATATGAAACTTCCACCTTTTAGGCCGACTGGCGTTTTAGATACGAACTTCGAGACAGTACTCTGATGTAATGACTGTCTTTTTAGTCGTAAAGTGCTCAGAGTTTTATTGGCGAAAATGAAAAGCGGGCATTTATACTGAAAATTTAATGCATTTAAATATTACTGTTGGGGTATTCAGAAAATACCCCAGAAATTATCTAGTGCTATTCCTGAATGAGAAATAGTGTCATTCCCCCATTGGTCAACATTCTTCCAGCGTGTAATTTTCCCTATTGGTCAATATTTATTTGGGTCATTTCCTGAAGGTTAAGTTATGTACAAATGTTACTTTCTATTTTATGGTACCATGTAGTCTGTTTGTTGGGTATATAAACAGAGTATGTTTGAAATATAATGATTCATATCCCGAGGCTGGGACTTGTGTTCTGGACTCAACTGGCTGGGCTAGACAGGGAAGCAGGGCCAATCAGAACTCTAGGCTGCTCGCACGTATTTTATGCGTCACTGTTTCGATCGATAATAGGCTGCTCTCTGATAGGCGGATCACACGATATAACAATTACCGTTGTTTATATGACACACTGCTTGCGTATAACTAAACAGTCAATCAACGGGAACGTTTACACACCTATTATAATGCATAACCGCTTGTTAGTTTCAAATATAAAAGGAAGCATGATAACAGCATGGTATTGTTCGCTCATTTGTATATCAATCTTACAATTGATGATTGGTCAGCGAGTAGCACACATAACCCAAATACACGAAATACAACAATCGATTTAACAGGAAATTACTTCAAAATGCAGGCTACACATTATATTGAACGAAATTTGTACTAAACTGATAAAAAGAATATTATACTGAATAAATCTCATTCTGAAATAGATAAATGTTGTACTAAGAAGTTATTATACAGAATTTGGAACGTTAGTAATACCAAACAGGAATCGCAGTGAATTAAGAGGTTATCTTCTTTTTTTGTCGTCGGATATATATATATATATATATATATATATATATATATATATTCAGAGAAAACAGTATCGCAGTTTTTAGTAGATATCGAAGTTAAGAACTATATTCAAAATGTCCACTGCCACATCCCTACTTCATAGTACATTGATAAATCGTGAAATGTAGGAATATATAGATAGTTGTCATGAAATTCAGGCGTTTGTGTACGTTATACATTATCATCATACTTATTAGTTAGTACAGAAAACAGTATAACGTAACAAAGAAACAAAATAATTAACTGATAACAAAAAAACTTACTGCAATATCATTGGACAACAATTGTTCAACACAATCAGAAGGCCACACTGCATTCTTACAGTTAGTAAATGTATTGCAACCAACTACAAAATCAAAATTCGTGGTAAAAATAAATCTTTATAATTTTAGATAACTGGAATATATATCTGCAAATATTACCCGTGAAAAGTGTGGCATCATTGGAAAAATTAAGAGACTAATATAGCCTAACAGTTTAGTAAAAGACCTAGATCGAAGAATAACTCAGTTGTCAGTCAAAATGATTCTAATCCAATCAAAACTTTTGTAAAGGAACTACAACTAATGCTTTTGGTAATATTTTAACCGATAAAGTGGTGAACTTTCCGCTTTCTTATTAAGATAAGAATAAATAAATAAATAAAAAGACTCGTTTGACTAGTTAACTTAACTGTAGTACTAGTTTGCGACCGGAACACGTTAGATAAATTATAACTTAAATAGTAGCTGCCAGTAGAATTCAAAAAGTGCATTTATTTCTATTTCAAATTCGTAAATCAGGAGTATCTGTACTTTTATGTTGATATCTAGATTAACACTTGAACCCAGTACCATTTGCTTCAAATGTCATTGTGTCATTATTCACTAAAATGCCGATTACTGTTGGGTCGCAGAGTAAATTTTATGTTCAATGTAATTAACTACAACTAACATAGCTGACATTTATAACGTCTGAAGTTTGACGATGTAAGTCAATGTATTAACTACAGCAGAGAATATACGAGAGCAGTTCTAAGCCAACCAGTTATTAGTGCTCGTGTTTTCTTCGTATATTGGATATATTTCGCAATTTAGAATTTATTTTACAGCTTGAGGTTTACGGTGTCACCTCTTTTATACACTCTAAAATGATTGTCCATGTTCATTTTAATGCCATATAAAAAAGTAAGTTGGAACGTGACATTTTGGCCTACGTATTCGATTGTGAGTCGTTGATTAACGAGCTGGCAATAATCTTTAACTATCAAGGTACGAGTAACTGGATGAAATTATTTTTGGACATATAAACTGAAAAATTCAACGGTACGTATTTATTTATTTATTATTTGAACACATAAATATTGGTACAATAGGGCACCAAATATATATGCACCACACAAAACAATGAGAATTTAAAGAGAAGGGAAAAAAAATAAATCGGGGTAAGGAGAGCAAAAAAAGAACAATAACGAATAGATTAGTGTAAGGTAGTGCAATAGTAATAATAATGGGGGAAACGAAAAGGCACAATCAGAAGAAACCTTTCAGTTAAGGAAGATACAACCACTTTGTACGAAGAAAGTAAAAGAAGGTTACAGCAGGATCGCCACTGGATTCTATTCTGAGCCATATGTGATAACATCTCTAGCCACTGTGTTACACCATCTCTCGGACCCCAGCCAGGGAGTCGTGAAGGACCAACAGAAGCTAGCCCTTTGCAGCTTTCTTTCATACCACGATACCATGTCATATACTGACCACCTCTCCGCTCTTTCCAACCAGTCCCAGAGTCGGCAAATAATGCACGACGAGGAATTCTCTGGGACGACATTCGTAGAACATGTCCAAGCCACCGAAGTCGGTGTTTCAAGATAGTGACACCAGTTGGATTGTCATCTCTATGCCCGAACACACGATGTCGAACCTCTGCATTACTAACATGGTGTTGCCACTGGATGTCAGCAATCCTTTCGAGACAACGATGGTCAAACACAGAGAGTCGTCTAACATCCTCAGCTTGGAGAGGCCAGGTTTCACAAGCATAGAGCAGTACTGCTCTCACCGTCGCGTTGTAGATCCGACCTTTTACACCCAGACTGACATTACGAAGGCGCCAAAGATGGCGCAGATTGGCATAAGCCGCTCTGGTTTTCACTATATGTGCATTGATCCCATCACTCACGCCACCACCAGCATGAAAATTCTTTGTTACCACCGAATACGAGTACTGAAGTTGTTTTTCTGAAACCACGTGCACCATTCAAACCGGTACGTATTTATCAAATTATAAGTCCCGCCACATACTAATGGAGAAAAAATTACGTAATAGGATGCTAAGAATGTTAAAAATAACTTGGAAATTTGTCATTATAACTTCGGTTAAGTATTGCGCTACCTAATCACTCAAACTCTGTTAATTACGTTTCAATGAGATTTGACGATCTTCATGGCTCCATGCTTACAATTATTATGCGCTCTCTAGTCACTAGCTTCGATAGGGAAACAGTGAAAAACCAGGACCAATGGAGTTCAACCGTATCGGATGTGAAGCAGTTGCCCACCTAAAACAGTGAAAGATGTTTGTGTAATTTCGTGAAGTGATTAAAATTAGGCAATAACACTATTGGATGCCGACCCAATATTCTAAAATTTATGCGTTCGCGAGGAAAACCAAAGGTCCTGGTCCTTCAGTGTGCATGACTGTAGATGAGCACAGTTGAAGAGTCCCGCATTAGAAAGAAATGACGGTCAATTGCATCCAGATTTTCAATGATGATGTACCTTAAATCGGTTGAGGAATTCAATAATTTCCACATTCTCCCATTGACTGTTTCATCGATACATATTTATTTATCCAATAATACTCTAAAATATAACAATAAAATAATTAACTGCATCTAGATACAACTTACTTTGAGTTTTAGGTTCACCATAATCAACAAAATTAAATTGAACTCCACAATCATTATAAGATTTTTTATCATCTTGAATAGAAGAATCAAAGTTACACTGTGATACATTGTAGTCTTTCACAGAAATAGGTTTGATATTTTCTTTAGTTGTTTCCAATACCCATGAAATATCATTTAATGTAGGTTGATCTTCATTATCCATTGGATATGCTAATATTTGTAATGTATATTCATTTGATGTTGATTTACAGTCTTTAGTTTTTTTCAAATTTGAATGATACGCTTCTTTTGAAGTTATATTATTATTGTTAGAAATTTTATCATTAGTTTTATTATCATGAAATTTTCTTTCATTTGAATGATATAAATATGGTAATTGTAATAGTTTAACATTACTACTTAATTGATAGTTAGTAGTAAAATTATTTTGATTCAATTTTAATAATTGATGTATATTGGACTTATTTGGTAAATCATATTCATTTGATAAGAAATGACTTTTTAATAAATTTAATTTTACAGAATGTTGTTGTTTAAACTTTTTCATTGTTTTTGAATTGAATTTAGTCAGGGATTTAATTTCATCCAAAGATAGTAGTTTATTTACATTACTATTATTATTATTATTACTATTACATTCCCATGGTAATGTTGAACAATTTGCCGGGAGTTTTAATAATTGAATATTATTTATTGATGTTAATTTCCTTCTTATTTTAATATTTTTAGGCAAATTTAAAAGTTTATTTACAGGTGATATAAAATTTTCCTTCAACATTTCATTATTATACAAGATAATAGGAAATTGATATTCAGTAGTATTTAGTGTTTTCTGTAAAAAGATTAACAGTATAATGATTAGTATAATGGAAAGAAGCTTAAACTTAGTCACATAAACCATATTTACTAGTTGCAATTGGTGATAATAGTTTTACATATGAAGTGGTTGAATTACACTCTCCATAGTTTTTGATTAAAAATCTACCAAACGTTTCTCATTCATCTACATTTCATAATAATTTAAGCGCTCTATTGCGAATCTATATAACAAACATATTATTCTACTCTAGTAAAATCAATTAATGTAATCAACCAATGATGAAGTGAGTCAACAAACCTTACCATTTTAAGTATCCTAACTGGTGGAAAACATGAATAGGGACGACAATTAGGCAATAGCATAGGTTCATGTTCAGCTACTTTCTCAGTTCTAAAAGAAAAAAAAGTGAAAATATTTACAACGTAAGTATTTGCATAAATTCAAATGGATGGATATTAACTGAATATTGAATGAATGTAGTATTATAGTTCAATATTTGCAAGACAACATACATAGCAACTCGATCAAAATGGTGAGAAATATGCATCTATTCACTGAACATTATATATATATACTACTGATGCTACGTCAGATGTAGTGAATGCATAGTATTCACAAACGTAAAACTTTAGATGTGAGCCCCGTCGAATGCCACAAGTTGGCAGTCATAACTATAGTTTAACAACAGTCATTACCTATGACAAATTTTCATTTTTCCAGTAAGCATAGAAAATGTTTTTGACATTATACGACCTTGGATACGACTTTAATGAGGTTGTAACGCTTCATGAACCCTCTCCTCCTTTCACTGAGAAATTTAAAGAAATATTATAACCTATGTAATAAACAAGCAACTTGTGTTTGATTTGCTACAAACTATCACGTCATATATTTAAAACACAATATCCCGATCATTTAGTAAAGTAACTAAATATTATATAACACTCCATTTTTAGACACTAGGTTGCATGTTAGAACCACACGTCGTCTATTTTTGCCCTGATAATTGGATAACTTTACTAGCTCCTATACAAACACTGTGAGTCAAAGCCGCGTATATGTGACTTTAATTAAGAAATGATTGACATTATGAACTGTTTTGTAAGTTCTTAAATAAAAATCAGTATTTTAACGAACTGATCACTCAAACAAACTAAAATCAACAAGTCCTCGTTTCTCAGTAGCTCCCATTGCACTTACCAATTCACATGTACGTGCCAAAGCACATACACTGGAAGAACTGAGAGAAGAGTTCATGTTCGCATCTCTGAGCATGTTCCAAATAAATTGAGGCTGTGAGGGACTAGGGATCTCAACAGTGCAATAGCTCGGCATCTACTTGACACCGGCCATACCATCGACATTCCGAACGCTTTTAAAATTATCAATAGACAAAGAATTACGACTTCTCTCCGTTTCGCTGAAGCGATTGCGATAAAAAAACTTAAACCGGATTTATGTATTCAAAAAGAGATATTAATAAACTTATTATTACCCTGGCAATCTATATTTTTTATTTCTTTTGTTTTATTTCGTTATTTGAGTTATTTTATTCATTTACTTATTTTTAAATTATTTATTTTGTGTCATATTCCTCCCCCATTACCGAGTTCTTAAACCAACTTTTCATTTACACATTTCCGCCCACTGATCCTCTTAAATTATGTTTACTTTTCAAATTCTATTCAATTATTACGTAACCTATCTTATCAGTGTTTAATTCCATGAATCCTTCATCACCTCTAAAATTATCACACAATTTATGAATTCCACTCAATTTCTACACCACCCATCCTGAATTGTTTCTTTAATTCTAACACCAAATAACCTCTGATTTGTTCTTATTTATGTATATAGATATTGTAAACCTTTGTCATTCCGATTATTTACATTCATTTATGTCAATTGTTCCATATTATTTCTTATCTCAATGTAAAAATTCTAGTATATATTTGGTTGTAAGCAGCTGACGAGAAACCTAGAAATAATATGAATTCATACTATTCTGCATCAATATTTGTTCTTGCTTTATTTAAATTCCCATCTACACTTACTACTAGAAATTTCATTCGGTTTCACGCTTATTTACACATGAAAAATGTTTAAACAATCGCAATGAAAATCAAGTAATGAAATTAAACTTCAATAAGCATATAAAATAGCATCAGAATTCAGCAATAAAATACATCTGACTAGTCTTTCACCCTTTTCAGTTGGTCATATACAGAGGATAAAGCGTAGGAAAAACTAATATTCAAGCAGAAAAACTCTAAATAATACAACTAGGCGTTCATGCTAACGAAGTAATGACGTTCAAGGTTACAGAAAATTATCAAGTTGTAAATAGTATCAAGGTATCAGAAAAGTGGCAAAGGTAATTTGAAAAATTGAATTAGAAAAAAAGCATTCATGGTTACCATTCCTAGTAAGACGTTACAACTATTAAGAAAAATTGCGCAATACTATGATCACCTTAACAATAAAAGAATATCATTAAGGGAAATTAATTGAAATCTAAGTCGAGAGCTGTTTTTAAACATAGACCAGTAGACAGGGAACTACATGCAATATATCGAGAAGTATTAAGTTGATTTTATCATTGGATGATAATGTTATTAAAATGTCATGCATTTATTAAAACAAAATCCTACTTCAGCAAATGACTCTCATAAACATTCTCTCGTGCACAGTTTGAAGAATTCGGACGAAGCCATGATTTGCGTTTAAGTGATGACCAGCTTGGTGTTCCTTTTTCATAAGACGGAGGAACGGGTAACATGTATCTAAAGGTATAGAAAATCAAAAACAAGACTTATGAGGCTAAGTGTCGCTAGGCATTGATTCTAATAAAATGATTTTGTACAAAAACAATTATGTCATTTGACGACAAAGCACCAAAACTGAGTCACAAAAATATATTAGTAAGCGGAATACACCCATTAAGACATTAAATAAGAAAGATTAGTTCAGAGAAGAGTTCTCTTTTCGGCGAATTCATTTTCAAAGCTGTACAATCACAAATATATATACTTATTCTTACAGGATGACAATAGTATTGATAATAAACTTGTTATACATGGTGACAGTGAGGTTAAATAAACAAAGGTATTAAAAAATTTTTTGAAACGAGAAAAGTTTAATAATCGTTTGATTGTTAATGGTTTAAGTATTCATCAAAAGATAGATAGCAAAATTATCATTGAGAAATGATGGCTCAGCATGATAAGATAAAATGTTGAAATAGAGATTAGGTGTAATCGGAATGATTGTGAAAATAGAAACAAACCAGTTGGGGGTAGAAGATTTAAGAAGATGGAAGGTGAAGCGGATGGCTGCAAAGGAACAAGAGTATGAAAAAGAGAAAAATTTTAATACATTACGACCATGGTAGAAGAAGAGGTTGTACCAGTCTCTTTCGTACACACAATTCTGGTTTTTACGAATGTATGGCTATTAAAATCAATACAGACGATCTTTTTACAACGGCACACTATTTTTAATTAATAACGAACATTACTGATCACAGCAGAGCAGTTTCTTGATAGGTAGATCTGATGAATATAGTGTTGATACACTCATGATAGTTGACTGGAAAGAATTACTCACCTGATTAATATTAAACTGAAAAATTTGAGAATAATCTGTAATATATTCACCTTCTTACTTCTTGCTAAAACACCAAAAGCGTAATTAAAAACAAGATTTTCCCAGAACTAAAGTCTAATGTCCAAAATTAACACTTCATTTTAGAAAGAATATTGTTAGTCAAGAAAGTTTTAGTCAAACACCAGATTCAACTTTTTTAGTCTTAACCGTTAGTTTTTATTTACTTTTCCTAATCGCCATTAATCCTTATGATTACCAGCATATCTTCAGCTACGGAGTTCTTGATATATTAAAATCTTTGTGTCAGTAGATCTAAGTCCAGCAAAAGAACTGAGAAGAAAAAAGGACTGTAAACATTATTTGAGCACTAGTGAATTTATAACACATTATATGTACTCGGAACTTCCACAAAAATTGTCACATAACTTTATCACACCTTGGTTGGTAGATAAACAAAATGACAAACTATTAAACTGAGAGAAACGAAGCAAAATCTAGGATAAATTGGCTTAGTTTTAGATGACATTCATCGCACAGACATGGTAAGGTAAAATCTGATGGGATAATTTACGTAAGTTTAGAACGGAAAAATAGATGGGTAAGGTAAACTCACTAAATTATCACTGCAATTAGTTGAGAAAGCAGCCAAATTGTTATCAAGGGAGTTATGGGTTAACTACGGATTCTTGAATACAAAGTTTAGGTTTAAGCCAACTAACTATTATGACTTTTGTGCATTTAAACGACGTGGAATTGGAACGTTTATTGACAACTTTGGATGAATTCATCAAATTTACATCGTGCCCAGTATCTATTAGGTGTCATGATATAAGCAACTTTCTGTTCGAAGTCAAAGGTGTTTTACAATATGCTAATTTTAATATTAGTTTTTGTTTATCTAAATGCAACCATGATTTTATAGTTCAACCTCAACCGTCTACTTCTCTCTTCTGAAATTTTAAAACTTTTATTATAAAAATCAGTAAAAATTATTTTAATAGGTTCATGCATAACCTCCTAAACATGTCTTTAGGTACTGTATTTTATGCGGCCTTTCCAAATTCACAAGATGCAAAAATGATTTTGAAGTATATCCTCTCATAGAACTTCCATATTAGGCCTTCTGACACTGAGCTCTCATTGATTAGTGTTTTAATGTCAACAGCGCGAAAAGGTTTAAGGAATTAATTGAAATTGTTCCTGTCTGAAATCAGATGTCATGGTTAATATTTTGAAGAAAAAGATCATCTATCTGATCAGGCTACATTATTCAGTATTTTAATGTATAATAGAGAGCATAAACCAATTCAAACAAATATTCCAAAGTTTATGAAGTATGCAACATAATCTCATCCAAAAACATAAAAGAGAATATCCACTGAAACATCTTGATATATTTTTAGAAGGTTAAACGGGGAAATTTAGAATGTTAACACAGCCTTCGTATACACAACCCATTAACTTACACTTTATCTCAAATATCTAAAATATTATACAAAAGTATGTGGCTAAAGTAAACATGAAAAATTATTTTAAGCCAAATAGTTAGTAATATAACATGAAACAGTTTTCTATTGATAAACAAACACACTGAATGCATATAAGCATGCTTTCTTTTACTTAACAATATAAAAGTGGAAATGCTAGATAAAATTCCTAGTTTATTTATTTACACCATTAGCAGGTTATTTATCAGTAATTGTTAGCACATAACAATGGTCATCAGAATCCATTTGCTTCAGACGTTTAGTTGGAGAAACATAAAAGATATGTCGACAATACCCATTTCTCCTTCATGCAGAGAAGTGATATGGTCATTTATTTGTCTCCACATAGTCCATGTAAACATTCAGGATTACCTGACATTGCACTCTAGATTTTTAGCTGACAAGGGGAAATTAAGTAAGTATGAACAAAAGTAAAATACAAGTGAGTATACCTAAAGTTAATCCTTAAAAAAAGGTTACCAAATTTATTAGCAGTGACATTATTTATTTTAAGGCCAAGTCCAGTTTACTATGCCTTTAAAGATGATGTGGTGAAGTCAAATTATTTTTAGTGACAATACAACACAGGCTTCTAATGTAGTCTATAGTATAGGCTTGATATATCATGAAGAATCCGTGTGTACACGACGTTAATCGCATTTTAAGACCTCCAATGAGCGAGTTAAAAATTTTTATGATTCACACAAAGCGCAAACAATTTTCAGAAAACATGAACTTACTCGAAATGAAACTTTTACTTAGTAATTAATAGTGTCTAACTCGACCAGACAATTGTAATTATCTCAGAAGTAACTTCCCCGGTGAAGTGCAAATATGTAGCAATTTACGTCTAGTCTAGTGATATTTTATATGACGGAAGCGCTTATGTGGTAATCTAAAAAAGAAGGAAATGGGAGAAGAAGTGAACCAATGAAACAGTCAGAAAATATAATGGAATTACATTTAGTAATAAAAGCAATCAGTAATGAATAGCAATAACAAAGACATCAAACTAACAAAATCTGATCATCAAAACTAAATGTTGATAGGCTGAAGTTCCTGGAGATTTACATAATTTGAAGCAACAAAATTCCACCGCCCGCAGTAAAACGCTATGAATTTTAATGTCTATAAGACAGATGAAAGAATTTCATCAGTTCGATGTCTCTGAAAGTATTGCAGTAATTAAATATCCGTCAAAGCAATATAGGAAACGAAAGTTGACGAACCCATCATCCAACAGACGTTTCATATGAGCTAGCGAACACTGGCTCAAAGCAGATTGGTATAGTCATCGTATAGTCGACCGATAAGCCAGGAGATGAGAATTTGACGGGTTCAGAGACCCAAGTGAAAACAAGATTTTCCATTTATGTCCACGTTATTCTAAATTTGTGTGTTGGTTTACTATTAGAGATTACAAGAAAACGTTATGTATCGAGAAGCCCAACGGTTGACGTAGGCTTGTGTAATACATGGGGTATTTTGTTATGGGATAGGATCAGATTTTCACCACTTGGTGATATAATCAGTTATCACCAGGATATAGAGGTTTCTGTATTTTATTGTAGAGAGTGACCCCATTATATCAATATCAATTATTTGGTGTAGCTCTTCCTTTGTCATTAGCAATAAAAGCACACGCTGTGTTTGTTGAGCGAATTTCATAGAAATGCATGTGTTAAGATTCTCGCAAAATTTAGCTAAAATTTAGAAAATAAATGGACACACAAACTTAGCGGACACCATGCGTTCCCTCGGGTAAGCCAGTTGGCTGTCGTCTTAATCTATTATATACTTTACTCTCACACGAGATATTATTCAGAAAGGCATCTCCAATTTACTGGTGAGAAACAAACTGTCATCAAAACATCGCAGATTTACCAATTTAATATAAACATAAGGAATCTCTAAAATTTATTTTCTAAATATTCTGTAGATGGTTTTGTTTCTATCCCATAACAAAATACCCCATGTATTACACAAGCCTACGTCAACCGTTGGGCTTCTCGATACATAACGTTTTCTTGTAATCTCTAATAGTAAACCAACACACAAATTTAGAATAACGTGGACATAAATGGAAAATCTTGTTTTCACTTGGGTCTCTGAACCCGTCAAATTCTCATCTCCTGGCTTATCGGTCGACTATACGATGACTATACCAATCTGCTTTGAGCCAGTGTTCGCTAGCTCATATGAAACGTCTGTTGGATGATGGGTTCGTCAACTTTCGTTTCCTATATTGCTTTGACGGATATTTAATTACTGCAATACTTTCAGAGACATCGAACTGATGAAATTCTTTCATCTGTCCTATAAACATAAGAGTGCTTCTGCATGGCACAAACGTGTACGTTATTTCAGAGAAAAAGAGCTGTCTACTGAAAAATACTTGAGTATTAACTGTTATAAACTATGAAGATACCCGATAGACAACGAGGACTACAGCATAAGCTGTGGCACTGATGAAAGAACAAGAGTTGCTTTACATATTGCTTTGGAATTGAATTATTTGACGCCATTTCCGTGAAAATATTTTGGTGATCAGCGTTTATTAGTAGCATCCACTGACAGTATTTATTATCATATGATAGTAATTAATTGATGAAACTTTAGTCACTATCTAAAATGATAAGCTTTTGATGAGTATACCAGGCAATAATACTTAGGCATCTACACGGAAGGAACATTGTGTGCTGGAAGAGTATGAAAAATAGCCTGTAAGGGTGAATGTAAAACAGAAAAGCACATGCTAAAATTAAATCTGACGACTCAAAAAGCATGTAACATGAACATAACTTGAATAGTAAATCAAAAATGCTGCAATCGAGCTAGAAGTTTATCAGAATGTATGTATGTGTTTAAAAAAACTCTCAAACATTACTCCTCAGGTGATTGTTCAGTTATTGATTTAAACGAAACTTTTTTACACTTCAAAAAAGTGTAAAATCATTCATCTTCATAAAAAATAAGCGAACATAAAGTAAACTATTATAAAAAACAAATCTGCACGTTTGAGGATGAGGTTATTGAACTTTCTAGTATTCTTTCAATTTTGACACTTCGGTATATTCAGAATCAGATTTTAATTTGAATGATATGTTTCACGCTCAACTTTTTGGAAAAAACACTTTTGGCACACTCTTTATTATAGCATAGTATGACGCCGATATATATATACGAGATTCTTCTCCAAATAGGCAACAATAAACCGTTATAATAGCAATCGAGTCCATGTTATTGATAGCCTAATTAGTGAGGTATGCTTTTCTAGACGGAAAACTATTCGAGATTAATAATGTATGGAGGTAACCAGAACAGGTTATCTCTGTTGACTGACTGTTAACTCTAATCAGACAGGAATGTTGTGGCCTGGCCTATGACGATGTCGAACCGCGCGATTGCTCCTAAAATTGGTTCACCTAATTATGATAACTAAGTGAGTCAGGTTTGCTCGCTAGTAAAAATAAATTAAAGAGGTGTTGAATAATGCTATATCTCGTGAATATTACTCTGTCTTGTGACTTGAACGCATTACTCTGTAGTGACCTACCTTTGTCAACAGAACGCGATTGGTTCAATGAAAACAATTATTATTATAACCAATTGTACCAGTGACTGTTTTACTGTGCTCGTTTGTTTAACTGTGCTAATAACAGCAATATTGGTTTTCCATTGTACTCCATTACTTCTACGCGGTTTGTGACTACGCACGTACCTTTCCTTGCCGATCGCATTTGTACTCCTTTGGCACGATAATAATAATAATAATAATAATAATTTATTCTCAAATAACATTTTGTTACATGAGTCATGCCAGTTTACAGGCAAGATCAAATTGTTACAAATGATACAATTTCCAACTGTAGTAAATTAATCAGCTGGGTCTATAATTTATAAGATATGAATGTAGAATGGTTTTAGTCAGTATCACAGTTAGCGCGCTTCATGAGAGTTGCGTTGCGACGTGCAACTGACGGTCGATCTCGGTATTCTTTCGATACCATGAGATCGCCAGGAAATATATTTCAACTACTACTATTATCTGCCTTCTGATATTGGTCTACGAGGATCTTTTTGGTTAATTGGCACGTAGTCTTGTAGCGGTGTTCATAGTCAAGCTCAACTCGACACCACGCTACAATCGGTGACCCAAATCTGGGAACACGTCTCAACCTCGATCAAATCTTCCAAAGAAGGCGATTCGGTGAGTCTATTGTTTATCTATCCACGTCTTTCGTGTATTTTCATATTAATTTTTAATATATAATATACTCGACATGACGGAAAACGATAAGAATAGTATTATTATAATAGACTCCGATGTACGCCATTTTTTATTCGCGTGACGATAAATTCTACGCTTTATTCGAGAAATTCCCCAGAATAACTAAACCACTCGAGGAGATTTCATCGCTGACCAATCGTGTGGTACACCACATAGTCACCCGCGGACCACCAGTCACGGCAAGGCCACGCCGACTGGCACCGGACAAATTAACCTTCGCTAAACGTGAGTTTGACAACTTACTATCTACTGGTATTATTCGTCTTTCTCACAGTCCCAGGGCCTCTCCTCTTCATATGGTGCGCAAAAAGGATGGGGTTAGTTGGAGACCGTGCGGTGACTACCGAGCATTAAACATAGTTACGCGCTTTGTAGCTACCCCACCCCCACAGACACAACATCACGGCATCTCTCAAGAGCACGAATATATTTTCTAAGGTCGATCTGGTACGAGCATGTCACCAGATCCCAGTCGCTCTTGAAGATATCGAAAAAAATGCTATCACGACTCCTTTCGGTCTGTTTGAGTTCCTACGAATGTCATTTAGATTACGGACTGCTGCTCAAACTTTCCGAAGGTTTATCGATAGCATAGTACGAGACTTGGATTTTGTTCACGTCTATATTGATGACCTGCTAATCGCATCATCAAACGTAGATGAACATTATCAACACCTTACGCTATTATTCCAACGCCTTTCGGATAATGGAATAGTAGTCAACCCAGACAAACGTGAATAAGGTAAACCAGAAATAATATTTTTGGGTCACATCATCAGACAAGAGGGTATTCTGCCTTGCGAGGACAAAGTTCGAGCAATCAAGGAGTACAACGTGCCGTCCTCAATCAAGGAACTGAAGGCTTTTCTCGGTTTGGTTAACTTCTACCGACGTTTTATCCCGCACGCAGCAGAACGGTTACGACCATTAACCGATTTACTACGCGGTAATCCACGCAAATTAGAATTGAACGATACCGCACGTACTGCATTTTCAGAGATCAAAACGGTTCTCGCTGAAGTTACACTTCTCGCCCATCCTGACCCATCAGCCACGCTTAGTATAGCGGTTGATGCATCAGATTTTGCTATAGGGGCCGTTATGCAACAGAATATCTCCGGTAGTTGGCAACCGCTTGAATATTTCTCACGACGCCTTACTCCCACGGAGACGAGATATAGCGCTTTTGGTCGCGAACTGCTAGCAGCCTACTGTGCCATCAAACATTTCCGGCACGCAGTAGAAGGACGTCAATTCATCTTATTCACCGACCATAAGCCCTTAACGTATGCCCTGCATACCAAGTCTGACCGCTACCCACCACGAGAGTGTAGACATTTGGACTATATCTCCCAGTTCACGACAGACCTTCGTCATATTAAAGGCGAGTCGAACTATGTTGCCGATGCTCTATCACGTATCTAGACGAATGCAGTTACTTTACCGGTGCTCGACCTTCCTGCTATGGCCGCCGCACAAGCAAACGATCCTGTCTGTACAGAAGCACCACAATCTTCATCCCTTCAGTGCCAGGAAGTACCCCTAGCTACTAGCTCAGGTACTATCCCATGTGATAATTCTATCGGTCTTCCTAGACCCATCGTGCCCTCTGCCTATCGCCGTCTCGTCTTCGATGCCCTTCATGAATTGTCTCATCCAGGTATCGAAGCCACATTACATCTCATCGCTGCACGATACGTCTGGCCGTCCATGAATAAAGATGTTCGTATGTGGGTAAAGTAATGCTTACAGTGTCAACGATCAAAAGTGCACAGGCACGTAGTTGCCCCCATTGTCACGTTCGCTACGCCTGATGCTCGCTTTGATCACGTTCATATAGACATTGAAGGACCATTGCCACCATCGCATGGGTATGATCACATACTCACGTGCATCGACCGTTTTACAAGATGGCCCGAAGCTATTCCCATCACGTCTATTACGGTGGAGACAGTTGCTCACCGCTTCGTAGAACGATGGATAGCATTGTACGGTTGTCCCTCGACTGTCACGACTGACTGAGGACAACAATTTGAGTCCGCATTATTCTCCTCACTGACCCGACTGCATACGCACTACCGCTGGACCTATCGAATCTTCTAGCGGGATCTCTACGTCTACCTCGGATCCCACGCTAGATACATCAGAGACCTCGTTCTCACGTCCCGGTCAACAGCACGCGTCATCTGCACCATCTACGGACGAGGCTTCCGTCTCACGTCCAGATCAGCAGACGACGACGCCCTTGACCTCGGATGAGATCTCAGGCTCACGAAGTACGAATGAGACTACCGTTTCACGTTCCGGTCGCCGAGTACGATTACCCGTACGCTTTCGCGACTAACCGCACAATCAACATTGGAAATGGTGTAGGACAATTCCTATACTACACGCATGCTACACTTTTCTTTTTATTTTTTTGTATCCTGAGCCCACGCCTCCGACCATCTTCCGTTTGATAACATCGACTTCAGTCAACCTTGGCGAAAGCTGGCCTGATCACCCACGCTCTAGTCAATGAACTCAGTCGATTATCTGGTCTCGAATCCGCCTGGCATACGCTTGGTCGTTATGGTCGCGTCCGGTTTCTTGGCTCAACGTGGTTTCGTCCTACGTCTGCAGCGTTTTTCTGGTCCGCATCCATACGAACGCAATCATCAGATGCTGGATACAAACCACTCTGGTGTGGTATGCTAATTCGACCAACAAATACAGCACACTTCTCCTAATACCGTTCTTCGCAAAAGACTTTCTTTGATAACTCTATGATCAACGATCACTTCCTGTTCCGCCAATTTTCTCCGTCATACAACCGCACTTCTGCCGATCAGGCCCACGAATCAAACCGCTCACTATCGAAAGTGTAAACCCTTTCTAGCGGGGGGCTCCTGTAGTGACCTACTTTTGTCAACAGAACGCGATTGGTTCAATGAAAACAATTATTATTATAACCAATTGTACCAGTGACTGTTTTACTGTGCTCGTTTGTTTAACTG